CTTTTATTTATGTTTCCTCGTGTGTTACCTGTCTTCCTTTGCTAGAACTTCAGCTGTTGAAGGCAGGGCCCTTGTCTGTCTCTTTCACCACTGCATCTCCACTGCCTAGAATAGTGCTTGGCAGAGAGGAAGTATAATTGATATTTGTTAATTGGTATTTGATTGGTGGTTGGCCACTTCTAGTCGTATTGGCCAAGTAGGGGTGCTCAAACCACTGCCCCATTGCTTTGTATAGCTCCTCAAAGCTTCAGATATGACCAAGAAGCAAATGTGAAGAGAAAAAATACCACCTGGAATTGAATGATTTTGTGATTAGAATTGTAACTATGTACTTTTCAATACATAAAATTATATAGCAAAATAGAGACACATGACAAACTTTTAAAATGCCAGTTAGAACCATATTTTCACGACAATAGTGAAATATTTAAGTGGTCCTTTGTTTATAAGATTTAGTCATCGTGGCCTTTGATCACTGATACTGGTGAATCCTCGCTCTTGCTTAAACTGTTATCCTTGATCTAAGTCCACTCTCTCTCTTTAGGGAGGGTGCCTAATGTCACAGTATCAAACGCCGTAATTACATCCAGTGACATTTCACCTGCTGTTTCCCTGTATTTTTCCAGAGGTCAGTTCACAGGGGGATTTTTAAAATTTGTTATAAGTTGCTCTGCAGAGAACCCTGTTGGTTGCTACCTGGAATCTGAAGCTGTTGTAAGTGATGACATCAGCAAGTAAAAAAAAATAGATTCTTAGACATGTCTTTTGGTGCACATGTGTGCACACTTTTCTGTGAGTTTACACTCCGGAGAGGAATGGCTGGTCGTAGTAGGTAGCAGCAACTCGTTTCCAGAGCGGTTGTCTCAGTTTCCACTCCTACCAGCAGTGTATTTCTGCAGCTCTTCATCTGTGTGGACAGCTCTTATTGTCACTCTTCTCAACTTTGATTACTGGGTTGTTCTGGCGGGGGTAGTGCTATCTCGTGGTTTTAGTTTGCATTTCCCCACGATTAATGAGGTTGAACACCTTGTCGTGTTTTTATTGGCCACTTACATATCTTTTTTTGTGTGTGACGTGCCTGTTCAAGTCTTGTGCTTGATTTTCTTTTGGGTTGTTTGTATATTTTTGTTGATTTGTAAGGCGTTCTTTAGAAGTTCGGATATTAGCCATTTGTTGGTTATATCTATTGCAAATATCTTCTCCCTCTCTGGAACTTACTTTTTCATTCTCTTAAAGATATCTTTTGAATATTTTTTTAAAAGGGATGTCTTTTGATGTCAGAAGTTCTTAATTTTAGTGTTCTTAATCTTATCAGTTTTTTCCTTTATGGTTAGTGCTTTTTGGTTATTAACTTTATAGTTAGTCCTATTTAGGAAGTCTTTATACTGAGAGCATGAAACTGTTCTCCTATATTATCCTCTAGGAGATTGATTATTTTATATTTCATAAAACAACTGAAATTAATTTTGGGAGGGTCAGCTTTATTGAGATAAAATTTATGCACAATAAAATGTGCCAGTTTCTAATATATCATTCTTTGAGCTTTGACAAGTGTGTCCTGTTGTATAGCCATCAGCACAACCATGATACAGAACATTTCCATCACCCCAGAAAGTTCTCTTGTGCCTTTTGCAACCCCCTCCCACTTCCCCTTGGCCCCTGGCCTCTGGCAACATCTGATTTGCTTTCTATTTCTATAGTTTCAATTCTTCTAGAGTTTCATATAAATAGAAGCATACAGTGTGGACTTTTGCAGCAGGCGTCTCTCACTTGGCATAGTGCTTTGAGAGTCCCCCGTGGTGTTGTGTGGGTCATGGTGGTATGTGGGTCAGTGGTTTGCTCCTTTCTGTTGCTGAGTAGTGTCGCTCATATGGATAGATGACACCTTGTTCATTTACCTTGGATGGGCATTTGGGTTGTTGCCAGGGTGGGGCTGTTATGAGTAAAGTTGCTGTGGACATTCTTGTGAGTCTATGGGGACATGAGTTTTCATTTCTCTTGGGTAGATATCCACCAGTACAATTGCTGGGTCTCAGGGTAAGTGAATGTTTAAACTGTTTTTATTAGAAACATAAACCGTTTACCAGAGGGTAACCAAACCATTTTGCATTTCCACCGATGATGCAGAAGAGATCCAGTTGCCAAACCTGCCAACACTTGGTATTGTCAGTCTTTTTAATTTTAGCTGTTCTTTTCTGACTAAATAAAGATGTTTTTACTGACAAAGATGTATAGCTGTATCTTTTTGTGGTTTTAATTTTCATTTCCCTTATGACTCACAATGTGGAGCATTGTTTTATGTGCTTATTTTCGTCCATGTCGTCTTTGGTGATGGGTCTGTTCAAATATTTTGCCCTGTTGAGAAAACCTACACTTCCCCTGTATTTCTCCTTACTCACACACTACTGCCACACTCACAACACTTGTGACATCAGATGTGTGGGGATTTGTCCCACACCAAGCAATTCTGTGACTCCAGCTGGGTGTCATACAATTTAACTCAATTCTGACGCTGTCTACCTAGAGTTAGCGTCCGATCCCACAGGTTAAGGGCTCAGTCCCACAAGACTGCCTCCTCCTCCTTCAGATGCCAGTTACAAGTCCAGGTTGTCACCTGTGCCTCTGACTGATGGGCTGTAAATCGGAGGTTCCCACGACCCCCTCCTTGGGTTGGATTAATTTGCTAGGGCGGCTGAGAGAACTCAGGAAAACAGTTTACCACTTTATTATAAAAGGATATGGTAAAGGATATAGATGAGCATTGAGGTGGAAGACATGAGTAGGGTGAGGTATGAGGAAATGGGTGCCCTCTGCACGCGCCACTCTCCCTGCATCTCTGTGTGTTCACAACCTGGAAGCTCCCTGAACCCCATATTATTGGGATTTTATGGAGCCTTCCTCACATAGGCATGATCAGTCATTTAGTCCATTTCCAGCCTCTCTCCCCTCTCTGAAGAATGGGAGAGTGAGGCTGAAAATTCCAAGCTTCTAATCACGGTGGTCTTTCTCGTGACCAGCCTCCATCTAGGAGGCCACCAAAGGCACCTCATTAGGACAAAAGATGCTCCTATCACCCAGGAAATGAGAAGGGATTTAGGAGCCCCATGTCAGGAACTGGGTTCAGAGACTAAATATTAGAACCAGAGATGCTCCTAGTACTCTGAGCACTTAGGAAATTACAAAGGTTTTTAGGAGCTCTGTGCGGGGAACCGGGCGCAGAGACCAGTATACATATTTTCCATTATTTCACATACCCCTTTGCCCTTTTTTCTTATATATTTTGGTTTTTTAATGTAGTATGAGATAGGTGGACAGTTTCATTTTTTTGGCTTTAAAGATCAGCATCATTGGTGGAGAAGACTGCCCTTCACCTCTGTTCTGTAGTGCTGCCTTCGTGGGAAATCACGTCTGTGTTGCGTGGGATCTGCTCCTGAGCGCTGTCTATTCTGTTTCACTGGTCTGTTTAACTTAGTGCCAGTATCACACTGCCTTGATCCCAGTGGCTTTATAATAAGTCTTGTTAGCCCTTACATGGAGTTCTCAATTTATTCTTTTCAAAAAATGTCTTGGCTTTTCTCGGTCGTTTGCATTTTCATATATCTTTTAGAATCATCTTGTAAAATTCAAACAAAATGTGTTGGGATTTTGGCTGAGGTTGCATGAATCCATAGATTCGGTTTGAGGAGGATTGATAACTTTATAATATTGATTTTTTTGTCCATGAACATAATATAATCTCCATTTATTAAAGTCTTTTAAGACTTTTTGTTAATAATATTTACTGTTCCATTACAGATCTTGCACATCTTTTGAAAACTTATTTGTACATGTTTCCCGTTGACTGGCATCTTTTTTAGACTTTCCTTTTCTAACTTGCTTATATAGAAATAACAATTCAGTTATATATAATGACCTCGTATTCAGTAGTGTTGGTAAGCTCACTTTTTCTCATAATTTATTGTATCTTTAGATTCTTTTCGACTTTCTATGTGTACAAGCATATCATCTGTGAAAAATGACAGTTTTATTTCTTATTTTCCAATCCTTATGCCTTGTATTTACTTGGCAAGGATTTGTTACTTTTGTGTCTCTTCAAAGAGCCAACTTTGGTTTTGTCAATCGTCGATTTGCGTGTTTCTGACTATTTTTGTACTCCCCTGGCACCCAGCCCAAGCGGGAAGAGCATTTGGGGCCTGACTCCCATGTTGCCACCCTCCTTGCCTGTGGCTTTTTTCATGTTCCGCTCTTCACCTCGCCAAATTTGTCCACAGGTTTGGTTTCATTTTGGAGCCTCCCATATAAAAAACTTGGAGGCCATGAGTTGAAATGACATTGCTTAGTGGCAGCTTCCGAGTGGCAGAGTTGGGCTTCAGGTCTTTCAGCAACTACCGATCTTAAGTTGCTGAGAAATGCTGCTGCTGACTTGTTTGTTACTGTTTGTATTCTCAGCGCTAAAGTCTGATGTTCTGCAGAATATCACGTCTGGGGGATTTGCTCACAGGTTTGCAGTGGTATTGGAGGTAGACAGCTGGCCTGTGCAGTGCGTGCTGTATCTGATAACATCAGGCTTGAGAAACCTCCGTGCTGGTGCCTGTCTCTAGTCGGTCACATTCAGGAGGGTCTGTGCCAGCTCTCGAAACAACAGGAAACGCCGTTCAGTTGGAAAGTAATGTACTGTGTTTGACTTATGAGCTTTAATCAGATGAGCAGCAGGGTTATTCTGGAAGGGCAGTTAACCCCTTTTGTTTGTTTCTTCATTTGTGAAATGAAGGGTTCATAGCTCTAAAATTCTACTTTTTGCTGGAATGAAGAATTGTTCACGTAGTCTTTATCAGAAACGTAACTGGAGCAGGCATTCACTTGAGACAGACAATTTTAATCTGTTAATATGTGTAGTGTATAATACACGTATTGTATATATGTATAATATAAAAGTTTTGTTAAAATGTCAACATAACACTCATTCTGTTTCATAATGGTTTTGCTTTTTAATTTTATAGAATTAACACTGAATCCTCCAGAAGGAATTGTGGCAGGTAAGGTACTAAAGTAACCTCTTATAATTTACTTCCAGCTGCCAAAGTTGCCTTCAAAGGTAAAACGTGGAATTTGTTCTTTCATTGCAGGCCCTATGAATGAAGAGAATTTTTTTGAATGGGAGGCCTTGATCATGTAAGTCAATCTTATGTGCTAATAGTTTTGAAGACTTTACTGGAAACTAGACTGGTGAATCACATTTAGCAGTGGGACTGGGCTCAGAGTGTCCATTAGAGAAAAGGGCTAAGTGTCTCTCTTATATTGAGCTCTTCTCTAGTCTGTTAATGTTAAAGCGGAAAACAGCATGAACATTTATCCAAAAAGAAATAAAAATGCTTCCTTAGTAAAAGGTTTAGTTGTGAGTATTAGATATTTGTAGACTTTTAAGATAATAAATTTCGAGTGTTGTGTGGCTGTGCTGGGTTAGCCTCAAGCAGTATGGGTGGCTTTGGCTTCAAGAAGTCCCTAGGAGCCCGAGGCTTCGACGTGGGAAAGGCTCCTCAGGGTGTGGGTGATACCCTGGGCCTGGTGGCGCAGCCCCGGCCATGCCCCACTTGTGCACCAGAACTCTTTCTCCTCCTCCTCCCCCTCTTCTCCTCCTCTCCTCTCCTCTCCTCCCCCCATGCGACTCCCCCTCTGCTGCCTTTCCTTTTTCTGTGTGCCTTGTCTCGCCTTCCATTATCCCTGACCCTGAGACATGGGGTTCTACTCAGGTGAGCAGTGTGATTCCTAACCCCATTCTGGAAAGATCGTGACTGGATTTCATGATTTTTCACTTATAAGGGATGTTGCTTGGAAAGAGCCACAGATGGACTCCTGATTCTAGAGTCTTGTTTGGCTCTATGACCCAGGCCCTTTGTTTGTCTTCTTTCTGCTTTAGATGTTCAGTTTTTGGCCAGTCTTAGACTTATTGTAACAAAATGTGGTTAGGTAAAATTTGGGAAGTTGAAGTTTATAATCAGCCTCTCAATTTTCTCATTAGTAAAATGAGGTCATTCAGTTAGCTAGAAAGTTTCCAGGTTGGATCTTGTTGGACTGAGAAGTGTCTAGAGGGCAGGGACTGGAGGAAGTGTGAAGTTTACTGGAGCAGGTGTGAACACTGGTTTGAAGAGGGGACTTAATCTTGTCAGACTTGCTGAATTTGCCCAGTGCTTACATCACATTTAGTCTGAGAAACAGTTGCTGCTAAATGTTGTCTGTGGAGGTTAGATTAGTGCAGGAAAATTGATATGAAGATGAGTTGTTTTGATAAGAAAAACATTTAAAACATGGTCAGCAAACTATCTAGAGGCGTACAGCACACCTAACATTTCCTAATCATTTCCATACCCTGATTGCTTGGGCCTGTGACACCTGTTTTCCTCCTGTGTTTAAATGTTTCTGGCGTGAGGCTGTCGTCCTGGTCTCTGTCTGTATCTGCTGTGGTGGTGTGTCTTTCATCCCCTCAAGCACCGATAGAGTGGATGGTGAGTCTCCTGGTCAGCGGCGTCCTGCCTTCAGTGGAACACGGCCTTGCGCACTCAGGTCAGGTAGAGCTCCGTTTATTTTTGAAGAAGGAGATTATATCATGTGAACTTGACTTGTAACCCGCTTTTTTAATTGAATGTGTCACCTGCATTCTTTTTGTGTTAACACAGACACATACGCGTGCCACCGGGGCAGCAAGCCTGCTTGTAGGGGCACAGGTTACAGGCTGTCCTTTCTGAGTGCAGAGGGCAGTGGCACCTGACAGTTCTTCCATCTTTGGAAGATTGGTTGTGCACATCCACGGTAGGCATATTTAGAAGCCCTTAAAGGGATACTTGAGCCTTCCAGTGTAGTTTTTTTTAAGTGTTTATTGTTAAGAATCTGTTAGGGTAACTATTACTAATTTTAGATAAACATTATAAAATTAAACCAATACTTTGAAAACCTGTCTTAAAAAGTCATTAGAACTATTTTTAGGTAGAGCACTTTTATGTTTGAATAAGGCTTTTGCGTTAGTATGGAATTCCCCAGCTTCAGGATCTGGTGAGATTGTGGGTTTTGGTCCTCTTCCAGCTCCTTTCACAAACAAGAGGCCGTTTACAAATGTACTTAAAACATCTATTAAGGAATTAACTGTCCTCCCGTTGACTCGTCTCACCTTGCTATTTTGGCAGACAGCTGGCTGAGTTTTACTCCTTCGTGAAAGATGTTCTTTTTCCTCTTTGTAGTCTTTGATTGTTTCCAGAGTTTCTTCCATAGCCTAGTGTTTCTAAAACCGTGCTTGCCTCCTTTTCTGCAAGTCCAGTGCTGTGGGGTTTGCAGTACTGCTTACCCATGGGGCCTTCATCCCTGTCAGCTATGCAGTGAAGATACATCTTTTCAGATGTTTACACAACAAACAGTGAGAGCCTGTTATATTAGGGCCCTTGTCTAAGGATACAGGTGTCATAGGTGACCCCAAATCTCCACCCTGAAAGAAGGAGATTGAGGGACTAGGATGGGGAACACAATTAATGAGCAAGAGAAGAGCTAAATAATAAAATTGCCATGGCTTATTCTCTAATTAAAAGTAGAAAAGGACTCCCAGCTGAGCTTATGGTGGAGTTCAGGCATGTGGCCCAATGGAAAAGGGCGAAGCTTCCGGCTGAACTATGGGATGTGGGTCCCCCAGCGCTGCATGTGGTGGCGTGGCTCAGGGTCTCAGGCAGTCACTGTCTCTCTGACCCTCACTTATTCCATCAAAACAAAGAGGTTCAGCATTCTTTTAGACAAGTGGCTTCACGTTCCGCCTCTTCCAGCTCCGGAGCTCTGGCCTCTGTGACCTCATTGGCTCTTGGCTGTGCTGTGGGGGCTGTCTGAGGTCCTTTACTGTGAGGGTTGGCCACACTCTTCCATTGGAGCCCTTCTGTAGGACAGAGAGAGCCCCGTGGTGCAGGACGGCTGTTTATCCTCAGTGGCTAGAAAAGGCGTGGAATCCCTTGGGAATCTTGCTGCCCCATTTTGGTCCTATCCCAGCATTCTGAAAGCAGCTAGCATTGGTGACCTCCGTGCCTGGTCCATGGCCTAGCTGCTGTCCCCTCTGCAGACCAGGGGGCGCTGGTCCTGTCCAGGGAAAGGACCTTTCCCTTCCCAAGTGGTTGGGGACCCTTGGCCGACTCCATCCTCATGTCACTGCCGGCACGTTTGAGTCCGAGCTGGTTTACAGCCACAGATGCAAGGATTCCTAGGCTGTCGCTTCTCTGAGGACTGTGCTTGGCCTACGCCGGGTGCGAAAGTCATGGTCACAGCAGCCACCCTTTATTATCAGGCTTTCTCATTTACAGAACGCTGTTGCAGAGCGTCTCCTGTCAGTACTGTGCCAGCTAAACTAAACCTGAGATATTAAAAGAGAGGTTTATAGTTTATATTGTGTGTTCTCTGACCCAACAGTCTCAACCCCAGGGATTTCTTTAACAGAAGTGTTATGAAGATCTCTATATGAGGAAGTTTATTGCAATATTCACTGCAGTAATAAAAAAAAAAGAATGTCACTGTTCAATGTAGGTTATGGAACATCCATACAGTGGAATGCCGTGTAGCACTAAAAAGGTTCTGGCAGAATCTACGTACTGCTGTAGAAAGATGTCCACAATGTGTTACTGAGTGGAAAAAGCGAATTAGGGAACATGAGGTGTAGATCAGTGTTGTCAACCAGGGATGATCTTGCCCCCCACGGGACATTTGGCAGTGTCTGGAGACATTTTTGGTTGTCACAACTGGGGAGTGGAGGGAGCTCTACTACTGGCATCTAGTGGGAGACTGCTGGACCCCCCACGTGCACAGCACAGCCCCTCACAAACAGCACAGAGCTCTCCAGCCCGAGATGTCAGTGGTGCCGAGGTCGAGAAACCCTGGTGTGGCATGAGATGTTTCCCCCCAATGTAAAAACTTTTACCAGCTTTATTGAGATGTAATTTACATACCATACATTTTACCTGTATTAAGTGTACAAGTCAATGATTTTTAGTAAATTTATAAAGTTTTGCAACCATCACCACAATCCAGTTTTAGAACATTTCCAAAAAGGTCCTCATGCCTATTTGCAGTCAGTCCCCACCCCACCCTCAGCCATAGGCAGCCTCTAATCTACTTTCTCACTCCACAGATTTGCCTTTTCTGGACTTTTCCTACAAATGGATCATAAAGTATCTCATCTTTGTGTCTGGCTTCTTTCACTCAACGTACTGCGTTTGTGACTCCTCATGTTGCAGCACGTGTCAGTAGTTCCTTCTTTTATGGCTGAGTAGTAGTCCACTTGCTGGGTGGACCATAGCTGGTTTATCCACTCCCCAGTTGATGGACATTTAAGTGTTCCCACTTTTTGGCTGTTGTGAATAGTGCAGCTGCGAACATTTGACACACCAGTCTGTGTGGACACGTTTTCTTTTCTCTTGGCTAGAATAGGAGTGGAGTTGCTGGAGTATGGAGTAAATTGTTGAAAAAAATGTTCAACAATTTAAGAAACTGCCAAACTGTTTTCCAAGGTAGTTCACCGTCTCACATCCCTCCAGCAGTGCCTGAGGGTTTTCATTTCCCCACTTCTTCACCCACGCCGGGTGGTGCCTGATTACAGCTCTCCTAGTGGGTGGGAGGTGGTATCTCATTGTGGATTTGATCTTCGTTGCCTTAAGGACTAACGGTGTTGAGTGTCTTTTCGTGGCTTGTTGGCCATTCATATATCTTCTTTGGTGAACTTCAGAACTTTTGCCCATTTTTTAATTGGGAGGTCTTCTTATTGTTGAGTTGTAAGAGTTCTTTACCTATTTTGAATACGAGTCCTTTATCAGATGTATGATTTTCAAGTATTTTCTCCCAGTCTGCAGCTTTCCTTTTCTTTTCTTGATGGAGTCTTTTGAAACTTAAAAGTTTTAAATTTTGATGCAGTGCATTTTAGCAATTTTTTTCGTTTATGGATCATGCTTTTGGTGTTATACATCCAAGGTTACTAAGATTTTCTCTTATGTTTTCTAAGTTTTATATTTATAGCTCTTACATTTATTTTGATCCATTTTGAGTTAATTTTTGGGTGTGGTATTAGGTAGGTAGGAGGCCAGCTTCATTCTTTTGCATGTAGATGTCCAGTTGTCCCAGCACCATTTGTTGAAAAGAAAATCCTTTCTGCCTTGAAC